AAAGACCTGGGTTTGAATTCTGCTTTAGATGCCTACTGGCAAGTCACTTAAACTCTCTGGGTCTCAGTTTCCTCATCTGTGTAATGGGGATAATAATAGCACCTTCTTCTCAGGGTTGTTTGGAGGATTAAATGAAATCATATGTGTATCACTTTGCAAACTTTAAATGTCCACTGTCATTATTAGGAGAATAATGCAGTGTAGTGGCTAGAGGGCTGCTGGCCTTCCAGCCAGGAAGGACTGGATTCAAGCCTTGCCTGTCACACATACTTACTGCACATACTTACTACTCACATAACTTAACCGCTCAGTGCACTAGGCTATTATTATCCCCATTTTACAGATGAAAAAACTGAGGTTCAGAGAGGTTTAAATGACTTACCTATGTTCACTCAGCTAGGTAAGTGTTTTGGAATCCAAGGCTCGGGAGACTGTCTTTATGAAAAGCAATTTTTTAAAAAAATCATTTGGTGGCCTGCAGGTTCTGGTGATGAGCCTTTATGAACTCAGCTAGGCTGGTTCTTGGATGAAGGACTTATAAAGTAAGTCTAACATCAATCAGTTAATTAGTCAACAAGTCCCTTAAGCATGGACTCTGTGCCATGCCCTGGGCTACATACTGTGGATATGAACACAACGATGAAACAATCATCCCTCCCTTCAAGGACCTTATGTTCTGGGGTCAGTGAGGGGACTAAAAAAGATTCAAGGAAATTCCAATAGTGAGGAATTAACAGTTGCTGGGGAAGGGAGACCTGGAAAGGCTTCCTATAGGAGGTGGCACTTGGGCTGAACTTTGAAGAGAACTAGGAATTCTGATAAGCAGAGGCAAGAAGGGATGGCTTTCTAGGCATGGGGGACAGCCTAGTCAAGGAAATGGAGATGGGAGATAATGTTGTGCATAAGAAACAACAAAGGCCACTTTGGCTGGAACAGAAGAGTGCATTAAGGGGAATACTGTTCAATAAGCTTGAAAGATAGACTGGAACCAGATTGGGAAGGACTTTAAATGGCAAACAGAGGAGTCTGTATTTTATAATAGAGGCAAAAGAGAAAAACAGCTGGAGCTTCTTAAGCAGGTGTGTGACATGGTGAGACCTGTACTTTAGGAATATCAATAACTTTAATGTATGGAGGAAGGATTGGAGAGGAGAGACATTCGATGTAAGAAGACCAATTAGAAGATCATTTCAGTGGTTCAAATGAGAGATGGTGATGGCCTGAACCAGGATGCTTATGGTGCAAACAGAGAGAAGGAGACAGATGCAAGAGTGAATGAATGCATGGAGTCATCAGGATTTGGTTACTGAGTGGATATGGGGTTTGAGGAAGAGTGAAGAGTTAAGGATGACAGTGAGATTGTGACCTGGGTGATTGGAAGGGTGATGGTATACTTCACAGAAATAGGGATGTTAGGAAGAAGAGTGGGTTTTGTGGGGAAAGATAGTGATTCCTGTTTTGAACACATTTAGTTTGACAAACCTATGGAACATCCATTTGGAGATGTCCAATAGGAAGTTGCTGGTGTCAGATTGGGGATCAAGGAGGGATGAGAGCTGAATATGTAGATTTAGGAGTCAGATGAGTAGAAATTATTAGTAAAGCCATAGGAAAGGATGAGATCTTTGAAACACAGGGTGTAGAGAGAGAAGAGGGCCCAGGTAAGAGTCTTGGATTCTTGAAGAATGAGACCTAACCAATGATCCAGCAAAGGATACTGGAAAAAATGGAACATCCAGACAGTTAGAAGAACCAGGAGAGCAGTGTCATGAAAACCCAGGAAGGAGAGAGTAACCAAGAGGAGAGGGTGGTCAGCTCTGTCAAATGCTGTAGAGAGTTACAGGAAAATGAGGACTGAGAAAAAGCTATTGAACTTGGACAGATAAAAGATTATTACAATTCCTGATTGAGTGATGAAGTTGAGATCAGATTGTAAGAGCTAATAGCTAGCATTATACAGCACTTTCAGGTTTACAAAGCACTTCACAAATATTATCTCATTAGACTTCACAATAGTCCTAAGAGGTAGTTGCTATTCTTATCCCCATTACACAGATGTAGAAACTGAGGCATAGAGCGGTTAAATGACTTGCCTCAGATCACACAGCAAGTAGGTGTCTGAAGCTGGATTTGAACTCAGGTCTTTCTGACTCTTGCACTGTAGTGGCTAGCCACTGCACTATTTAGCTGCCTTAGAGGCAGGGCTAAGGAGAAAGGTCATCACCTCATTACAAAGTGGACCAAAGGAGGTGAGAATTGAGGGTAATGAAAAGGAGTTTTGAGATATAGAATAAAGGAGAGGAAAGTAAGTAGCTCAAGAAGGGCGTCTTTTGTTTCAACTAAAGTAGCTTGATTCTGCTGCTTGCCACACCCCAGAAGAACCAACAACCCCCCCAACCTTCCATCCCCCCCACCCGCCTGACCATGAGTCAGTTGCTTGAGATACGTTTTCTGTGATAAGTGCCTCCCCGAGCCCTTCTTTTCCCTCTCTGCTCAAAAGATTTGCATGTTTGAGGCAATAGACATTTCCTCTATATTCATGCCATGGACAGCTCCTCTGGGAAACTCAGGTATTTTGTCTGAACCAATCCAAAGACATCCTGCTTTGTTGTTTGTCTTTTCCTCCAGTTTGAAACCCTAATTCTGAATTCAATGGTTGTCTCCTTGAACGTGGAAGATGAGTCTGAGAACCTTTTTTTTTTCCTCCAGGTGAAAAGCTAAACCCTTTCCTTATACCATCTGTGATACAGTGGAAAAGATGGTGGGTCTGAAGTCAGAAGACCTGGTTCAAATCCTCACACTGGCACTTACTACTGCTCGATCTCAGGCCAGGCATTTAAATTCTCCAGCCTTGAGTTTCCTCATCTGTTCAATGAGGGAGTTAGACTAAATGACCTCTTTTCTAGCTCCAAACGGTGACATGATTCTATTAAGTAGAAAGTCCAAAGAGTATCCCCATTTTGCAAATGAAGAAACAGAAGCTCAGAGAGCTCACATGACTTGAGCCTGGTCCCACAGTTAGTGATTCAGAACCAAGATTAAAAGCCACATTTCCTGACACCAAGTCCGGTGCCTACACTCTACGCAAAGCCTCCAAGTGCTATCCAACCCAGGATGGGTACTTGGGAGGGGGTGACAGTTCATAATAGCAGAAAGAGGACCTCTGGAGTCATTTGACATGGGTTCATTTTCTATCTCTCATGCTTACTACCTGTGTGATCTTGGGTCAGTCACATAACCTCAACTGCCTTGGGACACAATTTCCTCACCTGTAAAATGAGAGGGGTTAGACTAAGTGGCTTCTGAGCTTCCTTATGATTCCTTCCAACACTGAGATTTGGGATTCTCTTCAAGCCTCTCTTTATCCTTTTTTCAGCACATAGGTTGTTTATTTGAGTTGGGAGTTATTTCTTCACCAAGTGACCCTTGCATATGGCACAGTGTCCTCTTTCCATCTAAGTGGACATGGATTAGGATCAGGAACTTATAAGGAAGTATTGCATTCAGAGCATTCCACCAATGACCAAAAGCTTTTTTTTTTTTTAATGGGGAATCCCTTCCCTGGGGAAATAGAACCAAAACCAACCCCTTTGTGCTGCTCTCTGGGAGAACTGCACCAGAAGGCAACTCAATCCTTAGCTGGGAAGCTGCCACTAAAGCACTTGGAAGCCAGAAATGGAAAAGGCCTATTAGGTCATCCCATGCCATTCCCTGGGGTCTGGTTGCTCCCTGGTATGTATTTTCTAGTCCTCTGCCCTGCCTAGGTTGTTTATGTGAATCTGCTCCAGTAACTCATTGTACCTATGGGGAAATTTCTTTGTGCCTAGTTGGAACCCAATCTTGGTGATGGCTACAAATTTTGCTAGCCTAGGTCCCCACTACAAATGGAGTCATGCTCTCACATTCTTCTTTAGTTTTAATTCTGAACCTCTCAAAATACCTGGAGAGTAAAGTTTCCCAGACCTGGGCACTGTAATTGGTAGCCTAAAGGAGACCAAGTCTAGAGTTCATTTGTCAAAAGCATTTTTCAAAACAGTCTACATCCTCCACCTATATCTCTGATCTCATGCCTAGTGTGATTTAAAGCCGGCTTCCCTCACTTTCTCTTGCTATCCTCCTTTCCCCACATCCCCGCACATACACAGGACAAATAAGGTAAACAAACCCAGGCAGTAACAAAAACTAGTGGGCAAAAGAAACAGTTGTTTTTGGCTCCCCAAGTACACCTGTGTTGGGCATAACTCAGCTGGTAGACCCTAGCTAGATAAGGCACCTTTCCCATTTTTTTGGTACAACCTTGAGGCAGGGTTTAGGGAACCTTGCACCTAAGTGTAACCATAGACATCATCATCTCCCCACTTGTACCCTGTTGTAAAATCAATCCAGGCTCATGAAACCAATGCTTTGCACTGCTTAGTGCTTCAAGATTTATAAAGCCAGATGAGGTCAGTGATGCCAATATTTTACAGGTGAGGAAACTGACAATCATAGATCCAGGACTGGAAGGGACCTCAGAGGCTCTGCCATTTTACAGGAAACCGAGGCCCAGGAAGGCTAAGTGACTTATAGGGGGAGAAGGAACAAGCATTTGTTAAGTGCCTACTGTGTGCCTGAGTGATGCTAAGCACATAGTTCTAGAAAGCTGGAAGGGACTTTATTAGCCATCTGGTCCAACCCCCTCATTTTATAGTTGAGGAATTTGACACTCAAGGAAGTTAGGTAATGTGCCCAAAGTTTTTCCAGTAGTAAGCCTCAGAGATGAGGCTTTAGCCACCCCCTCTGACTCCATAGCCTGGATTTTTTCCACCCCTGTACCACACAGATAGTAACCATCAGAACCAATATTCAAACCCACGTCTGCCACATTCAGTACTCCTCCCTCTATAGTACCCTCCCTCCAGGTCTTTCATCCATCTTTGACAAGTCTCCCGAAGAAAAAGCGGCAGCATTATCATAGAAGGGCAAGTTTGGGACATTCCAAGTGGAAGGTTAACACTTACCATGATAGAAAAGATCAGTGGCACTATATTCAGGGGCCATACAGGGCAAAAACAAGTGAGGATGGCCAAGATGAGGTAATCCTTTGGCATCTCCTGGTCTTGGGCATTGGAGGTGGTAGCAATGGAGGACGCCCTCCGTGAGCTGACCCTGGAAGGAGAGTGAGGGGTGGCCTCCAGGTGCCCCTCAGACACTGATTTGTATGGTAGACTGTGACCATTCGGCTCCATTTCCATGGCCCCTGAGAAGGACTTGGATGCCTTCACAGCCTTGTCATCTTTGTCCTCAGTCTTGGTGAGGAGTTTCTCTGTCTCCTGTGAGTCCAGGGGCAGGGCAATGCTGGGTTCCAAAGTCTTTGGAAACTGGGTCTCAGTGTTGCTTTCCATGGCTGCCTGGCTCCCTGGATGGGCCAGCTCCTGACTCGGAGGCAGATGGCACCAAGGCAATGAAGAATGAAGAACCGGATGGAATGTCAGATTGCCATCCCGGGTCAACCAGCTGGGAAATTGTTAGGGAGGTGGCCAAGCAGATCGTCCCAGCCCAGGCACCAGGGCACTGCCTGGTGGGTAGGGATGAAGGTGGGCAGGCAGCTGGTTCAGAAAGCCATCTTTTTGTTTCCAGGTCTCTCACCGTTCTCACCGTCCTCTTTGCTGGAAGCAAATGCCTCTTAGGCTACAGAAATCTGCTGCTGCCAAGTGGAACGGTCCAGGCAGGACAAACCAAGTTTGCAGCCAACTTTGCTGCTTTCTCTGTTCGAGCGCTGAAGGCGCAGGCAGGCAGGAGAAGCTCTGGAGCTCAGGCAGGGATGGGCTCTCCCTGTGGTGGTGTCTCCCTCTTTGAAGGCAGGCAGCAAAAGGAGGCTGGTGCGTGGGTGGCTGTGTCTAAGCAGAGCCACGCCAGCATTTCCCTCTTCTGCCTGTCCCCCCTCCTTCAACCTCTTCTCCACTCCACTCCCCCCACCCATTACTCCTCTGAGGTTTTTATTTTCTCTTTCCAATTCCCCTTTCCCCGAAGGAGTAGCCCCAGGTAAGAGCTCTCTCGCACTGTTGCCTCACTGGGGAAATACTCTCCCAGATCCCAAGTCAGCTTCCCTCTCTCTTTCTCTCTGTCTCTGCTGCTCCATTCCTAGGGCAATGGTGCCTGCTCACCCCCTCCATCTGTGTGTGTGTATGTGTGTGAGTGGGAGCCATGGTGGGAAGGAGGGGGAAGGAGAGCGAGAAATGAAGACACTGGAAAGAGTCTCTTCTCTGACGTGAGCATCGACCTCTAGCTCGGTGGTCCATGAATGCTATGGCAAGCATGCTACCAGCCCATTCATCTTCCTCCTGCCTAGTGAGAGGGCCTCCCCCCTGCAATGGAATTCTGGGGAGCAGCTTTGCTCCTGGGGTTGAGCTGAATAAATGGCCCAGTACCTCCAGCCTGTGATTTCCCTTACTATTGATTATTGAAACGAACAGCAGGTGGTCTGAAATCCACTGACTAAACAAAACATGGAGTTAACCAAGAATGTTTCCAAACACATCACTCATTCTGTCCTTTGGACAGCAGGGCACACACACACACACACACACACACACACACACACACACGCATGCATGCACATCCTTTATGGAACACTTATCCCATGGACTCAAATGAGTTTAAAAAGAAACCTTTTGGTGAGAAATTAAAAAAACAGATAGGCAAAGAGATATTTAGGGAGCTGCTAGAGGCAGATGTGAGAAGTTCAGCAGAAGATTCTCTCTTTCTCCTTTGTGGTACAGTGGAAAGAGTGCCAAACATGAAGTGACAAGACCTGAGTTCAAATCCTCATTCTGATACTTTCTATACCTCAGTTTCCCCATCTGTAAAATGAGGGAGGCCACTAAGGTCTATTGACCCTAATCCTAGGTGAGGCTCCTTCGTCTCTTAGGCTATAGTTCACGTTGGTGGACAATGTCCAAAAAGCTATAACAAGCGGGAGACAGTCAGGAGTTTACTCTAAGTCACTGACATGGATGTAGGGCAGGCTTCCTTCTCATGATGACAGCTGTTCCCTCCTTCACCTCACATGCAGCCCTCATGACTTTGGTCAGGTGATCACTCCAAGGCCTCCATCACTGGGGTTTCGTTACCATGGTGCTCTTCTCCCTATATTTTTCCCGAGGCCCACTGGGGCATGGGTGGGACTCTAGGGGACACTCTTCTCCATCTCCTAGTGCCATATTCATGGCAGAACTGTTATGAGTGCTTGTACATCCAACCCTCTCCTATCCTTGGCCTGCCAAATGAATTTGTCCCAGATATAAGGATTCCTAGTTATAGCTCTGAGTGTCAATGTCACCCTGTATTACCCAGGCTCAGCATCTCTGTCCTGTTGATATGAGGGAGAAGGGGTTGAATTAGAAACAAAATAAGAGACTGTTGAAAGAGCTAGGTTTCCAGAGATCACCCCATCTAACTTACTTATTTTATAGATAAGGACACAGGGGCCTAAGGAAGGGAAGTCACTTTCTCAGGAAGTCACAGAGCTTTACACACTTATCGAGCTTAAAAAGGAAGTGTGGGTCACAAATTGAACACAACTCCTTCCATTTTGTCTTAAGCATTGTTGTTGTTCAGTTGTTATGTCTGACTCTTTGTGACTCCATTTGGGGTTTTCTTGGCAAAGATACTGGAGGGGCTTGCCATTTCCTTCTCCAGCTCATTTTTAGATGAGAAAACTGAGGCAAACAGGGTGAAGTGACTTGTCCATGGCCACACAGCCACTAAGTATCGGAGGCCAGATTTGAACTCAGGAAGATGAGCCTTCTTGACTCCAGGCCCAGGGCTCTGCACACTGTGGCGCCACCTAGCTGCCTGTGTTAAGCATTCGCTCACCATTTAAAGGACCTCCTTGCCATGCTCCCCACCCCCATAACCCCTCCACAAGAACAGCCTGTGTGATTACATCTGTTCAGTGAGACTTCAGAGGTTCTCCCATTTCAGGTATCGGCTTGATCATTCATGTCAAAGTATCTTCTTATCTTATCAGCCTACAATATGCCATCCCAATCTTCTTCTGCCTGAAGCCTTCCTCCTCTTTGTGGTTTAAGCATATATGAGCCTCATGTAAACTCACTTTGGGGACCCTCTACTCCTGTATGGGGGCTCCCTGGGGAACTCAAACCCCAAGACAAATTTGATACTTTGGGGCCTTGTTATTCCTGCATCACCCACAAAATCCAGCTTGAAGTGTGTCAGAATCAGACATCAGTGCCCAGCCTGTACCAGGAATCAGTATTAAAGAAAGTACGCTCACTGGAAAGAAAATGCTATAAGAATATAAGTATGAATAATTCAGAGAAACATAAGAAGACTAATCTGAAAGGCAGCTGTGTCATGGTGTAGAGGGAGCTATCTTCAGGCAGGAAGAGCTGGGTTCAAGTTCTGACTCTGACTAGCTGCATGACCCTTATGCAAGCCACTTCTCCTCTTACTGCCCCATGCAACTCTCTAAGGGTATACATTGGTTCTCTATATATCATGTATATCAGAGATGCTTGATACAATTCTGGAGAATGTACTTTGTAAAGTACAAATGGGAAGGTAAATGGAGCTGATTGAGCACTTGGATCTGGAGTCAGGAAGACTTGAGTTCAAACGCTTTCTAGCTGTATGACCCTGAGCAAGATCCTGTGTCTGCCTCAGTTTTCTTAACTGTAAAATGAGGGTAATAATAGCCCTTGCCTCAGAGGGTTATTGTAAGGATCAAATGAGGTAAGATTTGTAATAGTGCTTAGCACAGTGTCTGGCAGTACTACATAAGTAAATACTACATAAATGTTAGCTATTAATAATAATAATAATAATAATAATAATATTAAAGGGGGTTTGTCTGGGTGTTTGTTGGAAAATATCTTTTGTTTAAAAAACAAAATTAATTCATACTTTTTTGTTTGTTTGTTTTTATCATTTGTTTATTTGTTTTTGCTTTTTGGTGAGGCAATTGGGGTTAAGTGATTTGCCCAGGGTCACACGGTTTGTAAGTAATTCATCCTTTTTTGAAACAAAGAAGAAGAAGGGAAAGAAGGAAGGAAAAGGAGGAAAGAAGGAAGGAGAGAAAGAAAAGAAGGAAGAAAAAAGGAAGGAAGAAGGGAAGGAGGAAAAAGGAAAGAGAGGAGGGAAAGGGGGAGGGAGGAAGGAAGGAAATGGGGCTGGAATAAGCATGAACCTGCATCTAAAAATGTGCCTCTGAGCAAAGGGAGGTGACTGAGCAGCTGGGCTAGGATAATGAGGCAGCAGAAGGCAGTGAGAAGCATAGAGCCCAGACCCAAAGGTGCCCTCTCTGTGGCAGAAGGGATAGATGGTTCTCATCTCTAGTTAGTGGTTACTTAGCATCTTTTTAGAGAACTAGAACATTTGGGACTCTGGGACTGGAGGTAGAGGAAGGCAGGTGGCTCATTCCTTTAGCAGAGCTGCCTCTGTGTTAAAGCTTGTCATTTTTAGCCTCCTTGAGAAAACCTCTTTGGCTGGTTTATGACCTGCAAGGTCCTTTACCCCCAAGGGTTTTCTATTCCCTGCTCCAGACCCTTTCTTATTGGTTATATGACTGTATTGCTCTCAAGCCCTGCCTACCAGCACTGAAATAGCAGGCTGTTTATTGCTCAGTCTGGAAGCCTTTAATAGATGACCTGCCAGGAGGGAAGAGGACAGATTCCCTCTCTTGAAATGGAACAAAGGATACCTGGGAACCCAGATTCTGGAAGCAGGTGGCCTAAGCTGGCCCAAGCCTTCCATGTTGGTGCTGACGCCTCTGAACCTCACAGCTACGTGGGGATCAAGGTCTGAACAATCTAGGGAAAATACTGGTCAGTAGAAGTCAAAGAAACCTTACAAGGCTTTTACATAAAGTGTTGGGGGTGCCAGCCTGAGAAGCCATGGATTCAGCCCCAAACAACTCCTCACCAAAGCCTATTTGCTTTTCTCCTTTGCTCATTCTGGACCAAAGAAACATGAGAAGAGAGAAATGAGATGAATATAAAGACTGCCCTGCACCCCTTCACACCCCTCCCCAATCTGAAGGGTAGTTTGGGAGGCAGCTGTCCCCAACATGGAAAGAGCACCAGCTCTGACATCAGAGAATTTGAATTCAAGTCTGGTCTCTGAGCTTTACTGCCTTGGGCAAATCACTTACCCACACTGGGCCTCAGTTTCCTCATCTGTAAAATGAGGGGCTTGTACTAGATGATTTCTCCTGCCCTTTGCTTTCCAGTTCTAAGTCTATGATGGTCCGGGGAGCACCCCAACCCCATCACCCAATCTTCAATTTCCTCCTGCCTAAGAAGCAGTTTGGTTGTTTTGGTTTTTTTCAAACCTGCAGTTCTGGTCTCCTGTGGCTGTGTTAATGTACTTATAAATATGTAAA